CTGTATACCTTCTCTTATGACCTTTATCATTGTGAGTTTTGAATAGTGTCTGGTAATAAAGTTAGAGATAGCAAAAAATTTTCTCATGTGTCCCCTTAGAGAATAAGTCAGGTATTGTGACATCTTGTTTCAGCTTTTATATTTTTTTTTTCCTTTTTATCGTGAATGTGTGGTTTGTTTGGTTGTGTTTTTCTCTTCCTATAGCCTGAGAGAAGAGCAAGGATATGCTCTAATTTTCCATTCTTCCTTTGACACTTGCAGCTGAAATAATAAGATAAAATAGCCTATGAGAAGGTGATTCAGAAAGCTGCTAGTAATGGACAGTCCACTAGACTTGTATTGTTGAAAGTTTGCAAAGCAGACTGCATAAAACACTGCTAAATCTTTGTACCCAAAGTTATTTGGTCTCTAGGGCTTCTAATACATGTAGTCTTTCGAGAGTTTTAATTTATTTGAGTGACTTCATGCAAGATTTTACTAAAGATACTGGGAATAAAATGCTTGGGTAACTCCTCAGAACTTTTCCAGTTTGGCAGAGAATCTTCTGCTATACATTTATTTTCAAAGATACTGGGAGAGAAAGCTCATTTCCTCTGAAAGAGCTACGGGAGCCTTCGGCTGAGTCCTTCCTCTTTTCTGAGGTAATTTGTTGTGCAGTGGCTCACAGTGCTGGCCCACTTGGCTACATGTTACCTAGCAAAGAGGTCTGTTGTGGACCACTGAGGCATGTGGTAAAAGCATCAGTGGAGGCTTGACTGATCCTCCTGCTGCCCAAGTCTGAGTGTGGGTGCAGAGTTGCAGGACTGGTCATCATTTAGGCAAGTCTTGTTAGTTTGGGTAGCTCAAGCATTTGGAACACTAAATGCTGGCTACTCCTTAATGATTTACGAAGTTCAGGTTAAAACAAGTATATATGAAAGCTAAAATGCTTTATAGTTATATTTTGATATAATAATTAATTTGTAATTAATATGAAATGAAGATGTCAAAAATAATGGCATGATAACCTCTTGTGTATCACTGAACTGAGATAATTGCTAGAGTATTTTAATTTGTCCAATTAAGTTCATAGTCCTTACTAATGGATCCATTAGCTTTTTTTAAAATGCCACATGTTGATCTCATGGAAAAATCAAATAGTCAATATAGGAAACGTGGCTGCTTCAAATTGTAGTTGCTTTGCCAGAAGAAATACTGGCAACCTCCAGTCAGAGGCCTAATTCTACATTAAGAATCATCCTGCTTTTTTAAATTTTTTTACTTTTACTGTTACCAAACTGAAAGACTCCTTCAGAAATGCGTGCTATTGAAATGTAGTGAAATCCAAACCATTTAACTGTAGTGAAATACATACTATTTTACTGTACTGAAATTCAAACTTTTATCAATCTAAGTTCTGTTTTATTCTAGTCAAAAATAGATGAGCTTTTAGTGATGTAAAATATGACTTTTATGTCACTTTACATGCTTCCTTTTTCTTTACTGCAAAACCCTTTGGCAAAGAGTGGACTTCTCTTGTAAATGGATCTGTGATCCAATTTTTGTTTGTTAGTGGTGAGAAAGGTGTTTTGGTTTGGGGTTTTATTTGGGTTTTTTTAATTAAGTTTAATGGCTCAAATTCAGCCAGGATACCTTCATGTTAGCTTTGAAATCAAAGTGAATTTTCACTTTGAATTTTTCACTTTCTGTTGCAGCAAGGATTTTTTTAAAGTTTGCCAGAGATGGCAATTTTCTTTTTCCTGTGCTATAAGCTACAGTTCACAGTGCCTTTTGTTTTGTCAAGAACATATGAAAAGCATAACTTTCATGCACTACAAACCACTATCAAGTTCACTGAGATATGCGAACCAGTTAATTGAGTTAGCGATGGCTCTTGACAGCCACAATGCAGGCTTGAAACAGGGGTTTAGAACTAAAATCACTGTGGAAAACCTGTGCTTCAGAATGAGGATTAAGAAGAGCTTGAGCTTTCTCCACGATTGAGTCTTTTTTTGCTTCTGACTTTGTCCCACAGAAGTGGAAGATTTCATGAGTTCTATGTGTCTGCTTTGGTAAAACTGATCAGTGTTGTGACCAATCACATGTGCATTTTAGTGTGTTCTGTTTTTTGCACTGAGTAGAGCTAGTGTTTGAATTTCAGTAGAGAACAGGCTGGTGCACTTTAACCACTCATCTCCTGTATTTGACCTCTATAGATTAAGTTTTTAAAAGTTCTGGAACAATTAATCTTTAGCTGTTATTTCTGATTCAGATATTACCTGTGTCATCAAAATTAGTCAGTCGTAGCTTTGCTTTTCATTGTCTCTGTGCTTTCCATTAGTGAATATAAGAAATTCTGAAGTTTTTTTAGAAGGAGACCTCTGATGTCTTTGCACTAATGCTGGAGGGACAAAGCACTGTTTCCGCCTATATACAGTCCATGGATTTTCTTTTACTCTGAATTGTGAAAGAATTGATTTAAGAAATTGCAATTGGACAGACATTGTCAAAGCTTCTAGAACTCCTCCAGTATTCGTTGGTTGTAACAGGAAGGTTACCAATAGATTCTAAAATCTCTTGGGCTGCCTTCTGCATGTTTTGTACTTTTTTTTTCCTCCATATATGTGTTGGGGAAATTTTCAGTTGGAGGGCAGAGAGATTGAACTTAGAGAGCAGGTTCACATCAAGGTGTAGATAAAGGACATGCCACTCTGTTTAGACAGATTTGGCTCCAGGATATATTTTTGCTTCTGGGCAGTTCTAAGCACCTCAGATATTGTTCTGTGTGGCATTGGATGTGTTTTAATTCCAAACTTTTAAGTCCTAAGAAGCTGCTCTTCTGTGTAAGAATTACCTGTTGTCCTAGTTTTACAACTGAGCTTTTATCCACTGTATAAATTCATCTTCAACCACCCCATGCACACTTCAGCCTCAGGGCACTCACCACACATCCATGGTTTCTGAGCTCTATGTAGTAAGTGACACAGGGGAGTGGCTTTTTTGGATGGGTCCCCGACAGAGTGTTTTTGGGGGCAGTAGATTCTCCATTTATTTTGAACTTGCGGTTAGCATGACTTCATCGGGGGGGCCCTCGCGGTGAGGAATGGACCTTCGCAGGTTTGCCTTGGTAGCTTGAGCTGTGCAGCTTGCTGCACACTGAAGGTTACCCCCAGCAGAAGGCCAGCCAGCCAGCTGTGTGCCAGATGACTGCACAGCACCCAACTGCACACAGCCATCTCACATGAGAACTATTAAATAAAATACTGTGCTACTGACACTTTCTTTAGCTGAAAGCGTCAGAGGAACGTGAGAGGTGCTGGTGGCTTGTTTTTCCTTTAGTTTTTTTAGCAATCCAGTGCTATAACAACTTTCTGAAGATAAAAAACATTCGTAAAATAAAGGGGTTTGCACAGACTAGTTTCCAGCAAATATGGGAAAAATATTCTTAGTAATGCTTTCCATATTTGGAGCTTACACGGAAAAAATGATGGGAGCATCACTCCTTATGATAGCCCCAATACGATTACAAAGCAATTCTGAGAGTGATGTGATAAAGTACTATTCAATATATGAAATTTCCTTTAAAAATGTGCTTTGTTTCCTTAACACTCTAATATTTTTGTTATCTAAACGTATTTGCTGTCTTCCCTCAGAAGAAGCTGCCTGTGATTTCCAAGGGATTTTTGCCTAAGGTAGGGCTTGAAACATCAGGACCAGGAATTAGTGTAATGTGACCCACCATTTGTATTGCTTTGGGGTAAATTTGAGAGAGAAGATTTAACATTGTGTGTGTCATGCTGAGATATTGCAATATCTCGGATGGGTTATTAGGCACCAATCCAAAGGTTAAGTGCAGCAACCACATGAGATGTGGCTTTATCCTTACATGATCTGTGCCCGTGTTCTGTTTTGTAGTCCTCTGAAATAGGTAATATCCCTAGAATAAAACATGTTTATAAGACTTTTTGAAGCCTATCCCGAGCTATTAAATGTCATTTCAGTAGAAAGGTGTTCACTCACATCATTTGAAATCTAGAAATCAGTCCTTGTATGTGTGAACTCACTGATGTTTTAAATGTGGATCCTAATGTGCACCAGATAAATATTCACGACCTTTGGGAAAGTCTAGATCAGAATTTACAGTTCAGGATCTTTTCTAATTTACATGCATATATCTTTTTGGGGTTTTATTTTCCATGCTCTTTTTGCTTGGGTTACATTAAATAAAATGCTTCAATGGAGTGTGGTAGTCTAGCATTTGTTTTGCCTCAGGAGTGGATTGCCCCATCTTGCGTATCTGGTCAAGTAAATTGCTCTCTTGCCTGCATACTTCAATAATAGTACTGGGCTTTAGACCTCCCTGTACAACCCCCCAGTGAGCAGAACCACAAGGGGCTGGGCCTGTGTGGTGCTAGCAGTCTACTCTATTGTCATGGATGCATTCATCTCCTATTTACATAAATTAATAGTTAAAACTTGTTTGGTTGCTAAAGAAAACTCATTAAGCTTTCAGAGTAGCTGTATCACGAGCACTGTGGCAATCGCTCCCATTGACTTATCTCCTGCTGATTCACTGGGAACCAGTCCATCTCAGGGTCAGGTCCCTAAGCTTCATTGCAGAATTGAACAAATAGCATTTAAAAGAAAATGCAAATAATATGTGCAGTGCAGGGTGAATGTTGGTAAGCTTCCTTATAAAAAAGAGGTCGTGATTAAAATTTTTAAAAATAAAATCCTATTTTTGTCTGCAGGGCCAATTTTCTCTCAGGAAATAGATCATACTTTTTATCCATTTTCTGCTAGTCACTGGAGAATGTTTGACATTGTAAGAGAAAGGTCAGTTTCTATAACCTGAAGTGGGAGGAGAATGTTTAATGTGAAAAGCTTGGCCAGATTTTTATTATTATTATTATTATTATTATTATTATTATTATTATTATGTTCTGCTTTACCCTTTTAATTTATCCTCTTCACTATATGATTTTTATTTTTCTTTATTTCCTCTTTGGTTTATTTTGTAGATTGGAGAAAGAGAACATTCAGCACAGCATTAGCAGTGAAGCAAAGGCCCGAGCCCTTCAGGCCCAGCAAAGAGAGCAGGAGCTGACACAGAAGATGCAGCAAATGGAGGCCCAGCATGAGAAAACTGGTAGGTGGTAGGGAAAGATTAGAGCCTGGGCACTCACTCACAAGCCAGGCCCACGCCTTACTGTGAAATGACATCAGGAACACCTGTAACCTTTGGCTGGCCGAAGGGAGCAGATGCTAACTACACCGGAGATTCCGAATTACATATTAGTTAGCGTTTAAAAGAGAAAATGGAAAGTATTGCCCACTGTCTGTTGATTTCAGAGTGCTGCTCTCACATCTGCTGCACCATCTGGATTATGAGTTTATTTACCTGTGTTCAAGAAACGTAAAGCTGAGAGAGACCACAACAAAGTAGAAAAACAAAGGGCTTGTTTTTGGCTGGATTTTCAGGCACACATGTTATATAAAGAAAATAGCATCAGAAGCTCTGCGGGAAATGCTCCGAGCTTACAGTTAAAGTCTCCTGAATAGCATTGAACAGTTCCCACAGTACACACATTATAGCTACTCTAAAAGCTTAATGAGTTTGCTTCGGCATCCAAACTGGAGAAAAGCTTTAGCCATTAATCGGTTCTTAATTCACTGTCGCAGCTGGATGTAATTCACTGGCTCCAAATTGATATGTTCCTTTATTTAATCTTTGCAGCCTCAAACATTTTTAGCATTACCATGTGCCTCCCCCACATCCTCAGTCTAGAAGAAAGATGTTTAATCCCTTGCATACTTCAGGTTCTCATAATAGGAGACTTCATTGCATTGACTTAGCCCATCAATAACATCTAACTTTAATCTGGAAGTAAAATGGGTTTTCCAAACAAACAAAAAAGAGCTTTTTGTATTATGAAGTACTATGCCAACAACATTAATAGAGGTGCATATTATAAATAAACAAAAAAACCCGGAATTTTTAAGAAATGAAATCTGTAACCCACGAGCATGGAAAAGAGGAGGAGTTTCAGCTGTTAAAGAACACGATATATTTATGTGTTTAACAAAATACCATATTTACCCACCAGTCATGCAATACATTCAGGAAAGCTATACAACATATATTAATTATATGGGGTGTTGGATAATAAATAAGGTAGCAAGCATACTATTTAATTTTCTGCCTTTTTTTTAGTATTCTCACAGTACTAGAAGACCTTTCCATGTGTTCAGGGAATGCAAACAGCTACATTATGGCTGCTGCCTACACTGTAGGAGAAGAAAAGAAGCTCTCAGAATTTTTTTTTTTTTCCTCCTTTAGCCAGCACATCTGCATATCACCATGTGTGATTTTGCACAAGAGAAATGTAATTTACCTTCCTGGTGCATAAATTGTCCCAGTATACAAAAATGAAAGAATATTATGTCTGGGTCTGGTTTTATGTATCTTTAGTAGAATTTGAGGGAGTTGAAAATTATAGTAATTTGTAATGTATATAAAGAAAACCTTGTTTATTATGACCCTACACACATACAAGGAATTTGGGCAAGTGTGGTCATGCTTTCACTGATTTTAAAAGCAGAAATCAAGAAAGATCATTTTGCAGTATCTCCCTTCTGAAAGAATAAAGATACCTGGATTCTAGGTCATGAGTTTAGGTGCAGTCCTAGGTGATAGTAACTGAAAATTAATTTAGAAAATGGTTTCATTTCAGTTGTCATTGGGCAAGAAGTCTAAATCTTTTCATTTAAGAATAGAAGATTGCATTATTCATGATAAGTTCAGGACACAGTAAATAAAGGAACTGCTGTTTTATGGAGATACTGAAATGAGTCTACAGTGTGAGCATTTGGGTTGCTGGTGTATCCTCTGCACCAGTTGAGCAAGCAAAAGTCTGCTAAAGCATGGCTTGCCAATTTTATTCCTCCTAGAAATGTCAGTGAACTTCTAGCTAAAAAGCAAGCCCACCAGATTAGATATCTAGTCTTCACAGTGATTCTTCTCTTACAAGACCAGATTCGGTGGCAACATTTCTTTAACACTTCAGCTAATTCTGACATGGAGCCTTAATTTGGTAAGTGATGATGTCCAAGTAGCTGAAGTTTAAAAAACATTTCAAAGTAGAATGAACTAGAAGAAAGAAATTAAGGATATATAAAATTGTTTCTATGTTATCTATAAATTTATATAATTGTAATTTTATAGTATCATAATTTTATGGTTTCTAGTAGAAGAACTGGATTCATTGCTGACCTCCCAGAATACATTCATAGCAAAATTAAAGGAAGAATGTTTTGTGTTCGCAAAAAAGTTGGAACAAATGTCAGAAAAATACAGGTTAGTATGTTTGTGTTAACCTGACCCTTTTATTACTAGGACATGCTTCTTTATCTTTTTATTTGTATTTTAATATTTATTATTTTTCATTTTGTCCCAGGTATTATATATCATATCAATGTAATATATGCCCCTTAAGAATTCAGTATAATATATGTTCCCTTAAGATTATGTTTCTGACAATTGATTCAAATTTCTTGGACAATTCCAATGTAAAAAATTGCGTAGAATTTTCTTCCTTGTGTTCATATTCTTAATATGAAGGATAGAAAATTGTTTAAAAAGCTACAATTCAAGTTTATCTGAAGTTATATGAAAAATGCTAAAGATTCAATGATGTCAAAACTGTTACAATTTTATTTATTAACTCTAGTACTCTTTTCACAGTGCTACACTGCACACTGGATATTGTCTATAAAATAATTGTCATCAAAATTGCTTGTCATTGATGCTCTGATTTTGCTGCTGCTTTTTATCAATCAATAGCAGATCTAAGTTCAAAGCCATTAAAAACTGAGGAAGAGAGCAACATCTGGAAGTAATAATAATTTAAAGAAATACAAAGCTATGGAGGTATCTATCCAAAACTTCTGTAAGATAGAATTATCTTCTATAGAAAACATGAATTTTGTAGTTCTTTAGCAGCAAATAATTTGATTTTACATTTTTAAATGTGAAAATAGTATCTGTTGAAACTTTTTTTTGGGTTCATATTTAGAGTGGTAAACTGGACTTCAGTGGAGAGTTGGCATTCGGTAAGTTCTGTAAATTACATGCAAACTGAATTTGGTAATTAAGGCTAGTATGCATCTGATGGCTGATGGAAAGTAAGGAAAACACTCAGCAAAGATAAAATTGGTTTTCAAGGCAGGATTTTTCTGCTGGGTGGATTTAATCATCCTCTTGAGGTAATGTAGAAGAGACAAAACTCACTCAGGGAGAGAACACATTTACCCGAGAACCCTCTTCCCAGGAATGGTCAAAGGAGAACTTAAGTAGATCACAGACACTCACGCACACACATATCTGTAATAAATATAATATATGTCTGTAATAAATAAAATATATGAAGTTTCCCATGGGTACTGCCTCCACTGCCCATCTTACTTCCCACTGAATATAAAGTGTTGACTAGCTGTTAAGTGGCTGAAGTTGGGAGATGAATCCCATCCAGAGAATTTGGGGAAGAAATGAGAAACTTCAGGGACTGTAAGCAATATTTCCATGCAAGTGTAGTAAGGGGTACTTGAGAGAGAAGCAAAGAAAATTTTTTCTCTGAAAAAGCAGAGCTCTTCTGCTAAAGTAATGCAAAATCTAAATGGATTCAAATCATATTATTATTCCAGCAATAAAAAAGCACACAGACTTTGTTGCTAGAGCTCACAGTCACAGACTAGTAACTGTAAAGGATGAAGGAAAGACAGAAAATATACTGTGAAAACACATTATTCTCTGAAAATAAATACTAGAGATTGCCAAGTGTTTCTCCACCTAGCAGCATTAGCTGACTATGTCAAGGACCTGAAAATGGGAAAAGGAGCCCTCTTGCATCTCCAGGAAGTGGTAGTTTTTACACAAGAAACTGTAAGGAAGAATGCATGAACGTTGTTCTGAGAAGTGGTCCTAAAATAGCTTGAGCTTGCCTTCATTGGAGTGGGAGCTGCTGCAATCAGTTGCAGGGAGAGAGAAATAGGTAGAGACAAAAAAATAGAAGGTAAAAATGAGAACAGCAAGGTGGAACTGGAGGTGGTGGAAAATGACAGACTAATGTAGATGGCTTCACAAAGTGATGTGATCAGGAGATCAGATGCAGAAAATTATTTTAGCCAAAGCGTGATGGGCAGGTATCCCTCAGGAGCACCTCTCCGAATGGCAGTCTTCAGCTCATTGTCACTGAATGCAGTGTAAAACCACATTCTAGGACAGAATACTGTAGTTTTGTCTTCTGGAAAAACAATAATTTGGGGAAGATTTTATAACTTAGTGCTTATGTACATTAATAAAGGCAGATCACAAAGCAACAGCATGCCCTATTTTCACAGAAAATACTTTTCCATTTTTTCTGTATTTTTGATCTTACCATAAATTGAATTTTGGATCTGGATGTGTATTTTCTTGCTGTACTTCTAGAACCATTGTGCCTTATTTTCCATGGGCTTAAGAAATAACTGTGTGCTACCAATACCATTATTTAATTGGTAGAACACTCAAGCTATTTTAATAACAGATGCAATAGTAATTTTATTTGGTTTGATATGAAGTACTCATTTGTAATAAAAGACATTTCAAATTTATCTGTGACAATGACATATTTCTACAGTATCAGTTGAATGATCTGAATAGCACATATATTTTTGTATTTAATGCAGGCTTTCTGAGAAATCTAAACTGAAGTTTTTGTGTTTATATGTAAGCTGGAACCATTTTTTGAGCTAGTCCCTACACAGAGAGGTGTCAGAAAGACAATGTCAGACGAATTATAAACCCCTCAATCTGTGCAGAAACAAGATACTGTCTGTGAAGGTTTTCGTATGCATAGGCATGTTTAAAAATATAGTCCTTTGTTGATTTCTTCTCTGTTTCTCTCTTGTTTTGTTCTTTTTTTCCCTCTGATTGTCACTGTCTGAGTTTTTAGGTTGTAGATTAATGCTTAACACTACCCGCTGTGTATTTGTGATTTGCGTTTTGTAATTAAGGGGAACAATGGGAGTCCATTGGGTCTCGTTATATATAATGGTTGGTTTAATTTGTTTCACTTCTATCTTGTTAATTGTAAATTGATCATTAAGATTTGAATTCTAATCTGTCACCAGGGTTGTGAGTATTGAAGCTAGAGCAATGATCCTGGTTTTAATCACTGATGATGAGAAACAAATTTTATAATTTTGGTACATATTGCAGTTCATATATTTTAACACTGTATTTTATGGTGTTATAAATATTGTTAAATGACTTTTAGTGTAGTTTTACTGTTTGGACTATAATGTATAAATTATATTACTGGTTTGGCAACAGTAGGCATCCAACTGTGTGAGTTTAATTGAAGTAAAGAACACATACCCGGCTGAACTATTTTTCTGCATGTTTGGTTGACTGCAGTCGTTGCACTCAATACCAGGAGTGAAATGCTTGTTGAAGGTAGCTGTATGAAGATGGGGAACAGTCTGTCTGAAGATTCTGTCATTAAAATTAGATGCAACAATACTGCATCAGCAGAAAATATTTTAGAGTGTGTGTTTAATTTCTGTGCAAGTAAACAATTGGTTTTAAGAGCAGGAAAAGGCAATGCTTTTTAAACATTGAAATGAAAAAGCTACTTCAGAGGAGTAAAGGCAGCATTGCCACTTTAGTGTTCAAAAATCAGCTCATCCTAAAGATATCCTGAGACTGACTTTTAATTTTGACTATTTAACTTTTTCTCTTTTTTTTTTTTCCTTTAATATTTAAGTGGTTTGGAGGCTAACCTGTTTTGGGGTTTTTTTCCAAGACTCTTCCAGCAAATAGGGTAGATTAAACCTTAAAGTGGTTTTTAAATAGAAGTTGAGGTAGTTAAATGGATCCCAAAGTATAGAGGGGTTTTTGTTTCTGTTGTTGCTTCTGCCCCCATCAATTATATTTGATATAGTAACAAGTAAATGAGACTTGGCAAAATCTTTTATGCATCCAATTGCAAGCATGCATTTTACATTTTCATGTGTTGTTGTAGCTTTGCTCTGTGCAGTTTCAAAATAACAGTGATTTCATACCGGTCATTTGAGTGTATCAGATCTGAGAAGCACACACAGATCCATGACAGCCTGACTTGTGGGGCCAGCCTGAGTCTGCAGAAGTGCCCCTTCCTGCTGAGTTCAGCTCCAGTGGCAGCACTCCAAATGCCTGCATGCTTCAGTTTCTGTTGAGTCCACCACAGCTTATTGCTCAGACTGTTGGAACCAGAGTAGCTCTGGTGGAACAACATCAGCACATCCATGCTGTGTCCTTTAGTTGTGCAGGATCCATCAGACACAGTGATTAGTGCACAGATTTCCCTAATTTGCCTCTGTCCCTGGCATTATGAGTGAACTATCTCAGAAGTTCAGCAGTGTGTGCTTTGACACTCTCCCCCCTCTCTTTTCCTGTTGTGATACCTTGGGAGCCGAGTTGTTCAGAAGCATTTACACAGGACTGGTTCTGCCTCTGGCTGAGTGGAATTCCTACTCCTGTATAAATATGCTATAGCATTCAGTACAGTTAACAGGTTTAGTACATTTATGGTGGGTTTGGGGTTTTTAATGCAACTATGAGTGCAGTTACTAAAATATCACATGGAATTAGCTGTCTTATCTTAATATTTGGAAACTGAGGTGAATAAAAGGTATGTTTAAAGATGCAGAGGGAATCGTTGACAAGTGTAGATGGAAGACTCTTGGTAGGCAATATTGTATTGTAATGGTGTTCTCTCTTTAATTCCAACACTCATGAACCTTTTAACATGGACCTAAGCATTCTGTTCTTCATATGTGCTGTCCTTCAAAACTTCAGTGTCATTAAATATTTGAGTCTTGGTGGTCAGACTCTTAGTTACATGGAAGGGACATTGTGTAAGTAAAGTCGTAATTAGAAAATTTTTTTTTGTGTGTTTACCTGTAATTACAAAAGATGTTTTAGGAGAAGACAACACTCATAATGTGCTTCAAAGCATCAGGCATCTAGAGCTCTGTTTTAGAGACTGGAGATTATGATACTTGTGGTTTTAATTAATTCCTTACTTACTCTGGTTTCATTAATTGTTTTTTCAAATTAATTGATTTCAGTAGAGTTTTGGTTTTGGTTGACTTGAATTACTTGATCTTTCCAGAAAGACTTTGGGCACCTTCAAGGTAATGGAGATGAATAAGTCCTTGTAAAACTTGGAGAATTTTATCACCTTGAAAGTTGCTTCTGCTGTTTCCATGAATGAGACAGTCACATATAAATGCAGAAAAAGAAACAGGATCTCCCAGTTGGGAAACCCAACAAATGTGATAATTTGCAGTATTCCTACATGGCAAGTGCTGTTGCTGAATTTTGCTGGCAAAAAAGGAATGCAGAATTGAATGTAGTCCCATGTCAGGCCTCTTTGAGCTGCTCTGCAATGACCCTTTGCTTTTATCCACTGGTTGTCTTTCTTACAGTATCTGTATCAAGTACAGACTGCATTCACATTGTGTGATAACAGTTGGTCCAGCTGGCAATGCTTTGTTAATGCTGACATTTAAGTTACTAGTATTTCTGTAAAATGGTCGGCGGAAAAATTCAGTTTCTGCTACCTTCTTATAACATCCTGCCCACTATAATGTACCCATCCAGGAAACTCCTGTGCACAGAAGTTTGATGTACAAATCTATCAGCACAAATCTGATGTATTTGTGTGTGATCTTCCTTAATAGAGCTGTAACTCTCAATCTAAATTCAATTACATACAATCTCAGTCCAAAGTTTCCTTTGCTAAGTTCTTTTAGATTCACAGATGATACCATGCATTGTTCTCTATTTAAACATGAAAAGATCATGTTGTCATTTCTAGATTTGACTTGTCAATGTAACAACATGTTTTTGAAGGAGGAGTATTCCTTCCTGCACTTTGTTGTATTTTTCAGAATGTCAGTTGTTGTTGCATTCTGTAACAGCCAGGAAGGTAAAGTATCTTTCTGCTGTAATTGCAGCATATTTAAGTTCATGATTTAAAGATATATCTGAAGCTTTTTAACCTTGAGATATGGAGTGGCAGATGCCATAAATCAAATTTGCTTGCTTTTGATTCGTACTTTCTGATGGTATAGCAGATTCTGACATGTTCTCATTAACCTTTTCCAAAGAGTTAAAATTGTACAAGTGCATAATGTATATTTTATCACTATTTAATCTGAGGTCTTTTCCTGATATTAAAAAACAGCTCATGCCTGTTTCTCCATGGGCTGATGGTTAGAGATGTAGCAAGTAGCAGTCCCAGGTCATTCATGGATCTGGTGTCTCTGCTCACCCGTGAAGAATAAGAATTGCTTAGAAGTGACTAATATTCTTAAAGGCTGTGCTGAGTTTTATGTAGATTAGTGTGTGCCTGTATGATTTGTCTGTTGTTTCTGAAAGTTTAGTTAATTTTCGTCTTAGTGAGGCTTTGGGGTTTTGGCTGGGTGTGAGTATTTTTTGTGGGGGAGGGGTTTATGGGGGTTTTGTTGTTGATGTCTTTTTAATCTGTGCAATGTTATTTTAGACATAGGAGGTTACTAAAGTTTCTAAAACAGTACCACTACTGAGAGTTCAACCTGTGAACTGTTGAGAGTTCAACCTATAAAATGGAGTAAAGGTTGAACAAGGTTTTAGTAGCTGTTTTTTTAAACTAAATGTTAGCTTTTGCTCATAATTTTCAAAATGTTAGCCAAATTCTTGCTTAACAAGTATGAATTTACATTTATTGATCTTATTTAACATCGATGCAAAATGCCAAATGGCATGCCTGTTTAAATTAGGCTGAAATTAGCTTAGCCAACCTATAATTGAGTGATTGCCAGTGGCATATTTAGAAGATAACCACTGGTATCATATTCTTTTGTCTTGAGATTATCTGAAACAGCATTTTGTTTCTGTAAGTTCTAGTAATAGCTTGTTTATGCATTACATATAAATGTATGAAATCTTATAAATGCTGAAGCCACATATTGATGGCACACTGCAGGATGAAATCTGACAACATCCATCATCGCTTTGTTTTACTTCTGTAGATCTGAAGTCAACCAGCTTAGTCAGGAAAAAGAATATCTTCATGGCAGATTGGAGAAGATGCAGAAACGGAATGATGAATTGGACCAACAATGTATCCAGCATGGGAGAATGCATGAGAGAATGAAGTCAAGGTAGGAGGTCCTGTTGATCTGTCAGTATGTGATATGCTCAACTGTACCAGTCATGTTGTGTAAACATAAAAATGACACGACGTTGTGTGAAAGTAATATTCTTTCCTTATGAAATGACCACTCCTTCCCCCTCCCCAATCATTCTGTCAAGTTGGTTTTTTTTAACATCTTTTGCTTGTGCCATTTTGGATAAATAAAAGGAAAGCTTGAACAACATAGTCTTCCAAAGAATTTAAACCTAGTACATATGTGTGTGGGCTGCTTCGGCTGTTCTCTGCTCTAACTTGTATGAATAGTCTTACCATTTATAAAAAAAAGGGAGGGGGGAGCTGGGGAGGAAGGACAGAGGAGGTTATTCAGTGATGTGAATGTAGAGTACAGATGTGTGTTCCATTATGCCGTGTAATAGTTGTATTTTTGGGGTTTACCATCATTTAATTTGTATAAACAGACAAATCTTACTGAAAATCCTAGTAACCAGAGAAATACTGGCCATTTCCAGGCACCACTAGCCTTGCAGAGAAGCAGTGACTTCCTCAGGATGAGCTGGGAGCAGCTGCAGCAAGGCTAGTGTGAAATATTTTCACCAATATCAATTGACTGTTCTGGCCAGAGTATCCAGACTGATAATGGCTTGTGCTGTGATATGAATTAGACTTCCTCAAAGATCACTGTGGAGTCTTTTCCTTTTGGCTCCAGAAAGTTCATCTATGCTTTCTTGTTCTGCTTTCCGCTCCACATTAAGTGTAACAGGCACTGGAGGGAGTTTGGCATGCTTGTGGAGGTAGAGGATGAAGTAAAGAGGAGGCTGAGAGGTAACTCTGCAAATCCAGTCATCCAAGCTACGTCTTGTCAGTAGTCAAAGGCAAAATGCAGTTTAACTTTGTTTGGACTAGACAGCCCTTACTGGGAAAAATTCTTTTTGCTTTTTTTCATCATTGACCACCTGAGAGGAACAGAGTTTGCAAGTATTAAAACAGCCAGTCCTGTATGCTCCTTTCTGTAAAGTACTGATTTTTTTTTTTTTACTGCCATCTCTTTATTCTCTGTCTATAATTTTCTTTCTTGCAAGCACTTCATGTGCTCATTTCAGTCATCCAGAACCACTTCTTTCCTCTTCCCTTTCAGATTTCTGTCTGTACCTCATCCTGTTCTTCTCTAACCTTGGATTGTCATCATCATTTATAACTCAGAGCACAAAGAAATTCAGAACACTGCAACTGCATTCCTAATCTGTGTAACCACACAATCTTTCCATTTATCTCACCTCCCTTTTGATTTCTTTAGTTATGGTGGATTCGTATCATATGCAGGACTGAGAATTCGAGGTTACTTTCAGGAGAAAATTTTCCCCCTCTTTTTTCTCCTAGCTGCTCTTCTGTAGAATTATGAATATCTAGTAAAATTTAGAAGTGCTTTGCAAGTTTTTATGGTAACCTTTCCTCTATCTATTTTTATAAATAAGATAGATCTACTGGAAAATGTTGCTCATTCTCTGCTGCAGCAGCAATGATTATACACTAGAAAAGACTGAAAGCATTAATCCAGAACACAAAAGTGGTTTGAAAGCAGAGTGGTCATGCTGCAGGCAATGCCTTACCTTCTGCTGCTGTATTGCAGACAACAGAGAAAACAGGGCAGTAATAGCATTTGTCTTACTTAATATTTTAGAATATGTAAATATGGCAGAGATTATTAGATGTTCTAAACATGAACAATATACTTTACCAGCATTTTAAGAGATGGCTCTTTTAACATATTTTTAATTGTCATCTTGCACTCTATTAATTTAAATTCCAACTAATAAGTGACAAGGCTGATACTCTACACTGCTTCAAAAAAATCAGTGTAATCTCATTTTAATTTTCTATGTGAAAACTGTAGTAGATTTTCAGGATTAATTCCCAAATGCTGTAAATTGGTCATGAAGTTTACAAATCTAGGTGAAGAAAGCAGAAGGAATAACTGCTCCAACAAATAAATCCCCCAGTTGCATATATTTATGTTGAAGGATTTTCACTAAATAAAAATAGTAATTTTTCTCTTCTGATTTTGAAAATAGAGATCTGACTATACTATTTAGTAAAAGCAGAACAACAAATAATATGTATTTTGCCTCAGATTTTCATGCATCACTTAGACACTAATAATCTCAGGAAAATACTGTTGATGATGGCTACTTCTTAGCACGTTTGTTTCTCCTTTGTATGTGGCTATAAATAGCAGTGGTCATTTTGCAGCATAGTCCCACAAAGTGCATTCTGACCTAATTTTCTAGCTGCTGTTATTCTGGATCTTCAGAAAATTTCTTGTATTACAATGATTTTTGGCTAAACTTGGAACCTAACATTTGCATTTTAATAATGAGGTATTATGATATTTGTTTGAGAAGATATCCTTGTCCATACTTGTTTTATCCAGGGACAGCATGACAGGCCCTGATGTAACTATTTTGTGGAAGAAACAATACCTAAATGATCAGTCGGAATTTCTTTTGGACCAAAAATGTTTTGGCATTCATAATAGTTGCACTCCTGAATCTTGCTGCAAATGAATATAGTCCAAAATTAAATAAGCAAATTTCGAAGAAAGAGATTACTTTAAGTGCCAGTCATTAAACAGGATATGGAATCAGCCTTTTCAGTGTAGTGGAAATATCCAGCCCTTTTGGTGTGTTTTTACTCAGTGAAACATGGCATTAAAAGAAGTAGATGTCCATCCTAAATCATACAGTTGTTGCATGCTACTGATGCAAACTTGAATTGAAATATGTGCAGTTTGCAGGACTAAGGTGACACGTTATGAGTCCAAGTGGAGTTGGTCATCATGTGTATCTTCATGAATATGAATCTTGCATAAAGTCTTGTCTGTTATGTAGCAGAGTCCATTTTTGTAAATTTTTAACCTCAAAGCAAACTGTCTTATTAAATTCTTCAAATTCCCATTTTGTAGATTTGTGTTCATGGTAGAAATTAGCAGATAGCAGAAAGTACAGAATTTCTTATAAGGCAGCCGTAAAGGTAGAAACTAGCCAACAATAAGAGGAATATGAAGCAAAACTAAAAGGTTTCTATGGTTTGGGTTTTGGTTTTGGGTTTTTTTGGTTTTTGTTTTTTGGTTTTTTTTTTTTGGTGCTTCACTCCACATAATTTGAATAGATTCCGCATGAAGGAAAATTCAAAGCCAAATAAATTGGGTAACTGTATGTATAAAGTTGGCTCATTCTTTCCTTAATCTGTTTTCAAACTGAATTCCCATGTGTGCATTTTCACCTCTGTAGTTAGACCAGTTCTGTAAATGCAGATCCACTTTTTCACAAACTCTTTTCTCTTCCAATTAAAGAGGAAGAAGAAAAAGACAAGAACCTCCCTAGATCTATTATTGTTTGAATGTATATATGAGTAAGTATTATTTGCCCAAGCTGCCATGGGTCAGGATTTCATCAGGCTGTTTGAGCTTTCACTGAACTTAATTGACAACTCTTGTAGTTACAAAGTCCAATTATGGCTTTACTTCTCTGCATCTGTTCTTCTCGTAAAGCAAGTATTTGATTGTAACTCATCTATTTTGAGGATTGCTTCTGTGGACAGCCAGTATCTATAATGGGAGGCATTTAATGAAATATAGCTTAGCTCTTTTCTTTGTACATTTCCTGCTGAAGACCTTCAAGCAGGAGAAGAAAATCCTAGGCAATTTCTTTCCTTTTTTCAAGATGAGCCAGACATGCCTTTACTTTTTATCAAACAGTTAAAAAAAAAAATGGGACAGTAGTTTATATGAAATATAAGACTCTTTTAAAATCTTTTTAATAAAACATAAATTTAGAAGCTTCTAATGAGTTTCTTTCCAAACATTTTTCTAAAGTTCAGCATATGGAATTTGAGGCTATGAATTTTCTCTCAGATCTTGTGGCTACAGTTCATATTACTGTAATTTTTGCTGTACTGTGTGTGATCAATGTCCAATCTGTATAACATTAATAAAAATAATACATTTAATGCAAATCTGTGTGGGGCTTTTTGTTGTGGTAGCTTTTTGGAGGTGACACTGTTAGACGTATTTCGACTGTATTTTTGCTAGCTAAAGTTAAAAAGAAGAGCCTACAGGACTGGCAGTTTGGGGCAGATGTGTGTCTATTCCTTAGGCATCAGTGGTTGTAAGTTAACTATAAAAATGTTACAACCATCTGTGTAACAAGACGGCAAAGATCTGCTCTCGCCTGTTACTATAAATAAGAAGGAGATTTGTTTGACTTCATAGACATTGGATTTATAAAGACTCTATGTGTCAAATTGGAACTACGTGCCATGTTGCTGAGATGTGTCTGCAGCCAACTACCTGGGGTGTCTTCCCCTTCAGACATTCTAGTGTGGTGCAGCAACTGTGCAGAAATGTCTGTATAGCACAACATGTGACAAATTATATTTGTTTTCTACCTATAGCAAATGTATGATTCTTAAGGATAAGCTTATCTGGAAGGGTACCTAAAATGGACCTTTAAACAGACCACTCAAGTGAAAATGTGATACTCAGTTTGACGAGGATTTTAAAGGCTATTTTCCACCATTAAATTTTTCTGTTTGTTTGTTTTGTTGCTAAGTGGTAGTGTATGCAAGATCATGTATGCTTAAGAGAGCGCATTATCTGTGGGAATTGAGACATATCTAGAGAGAGTACACCAGCATTTTCAAATATCTGCTATGTAGAATCACAATAGCGAGTTTGCTGTCACTATTACACTACTGAATAGAAATTTTGGATTTCTTGGCAAATCTTTAGTAGAACTACTAAATGAAATTATTTCTTGTTAACTGGAGCAATCAAGTTGCATTTGAAATTTTACATTTTCTCCTTAAAACTGAAGTACTTTTTTGTGCATATGTGTGTTTACAAGAAACAATGACGGATGGATGAATTTAGGTTATGTCATTACCTGAAAGACCTTTATTTTCTTCCAGTCCAGTTCATTCTCAGTTAAATACATTGTCTTCCTTATTCTA